TAAAAAATAGAACATTAAGATAAAACGATGTTATAAAAATACGTTACGTAAAATCATCTTTGCAGTAAAAGTTCGGTCTTTATCACAAAGATCTTTGTTATCAGGCGATACAAATACTTAAAATGTCTCCAAAATAAACAGAACTGATTAGGCCATAGACTATTTTTGTAACATCGTAAAAATACCACGTGGATTCGTGAGAATTAGGCAGCGTAGCCATACAGGTTCAAGCGATCTCTGATGAATTAGAAATGACGGTGACAACCTTTGCAATAATGACATGCAGTAGTTGTAGTGATATCGGGGACCTTCAGCAAATAGTTCCATAAAAATTCAGCAAAAAAAAATGTAAGAAATATTCAGATAAAGAATTTGAATAAATGAATAAACAAATAAACAAAATTTGTACCAAAAGTTGGCCAAAACGTTTAAAAAATACGTATTTTTGAAATACCGATGGCAACTGGGACTGGCTTTGGTCTGGCTACCTGATTATTACCTTTTCTACTCTAAGAGTGCACTCTAAGAGTGTATAAACAAATAAATAAATAAATAAACAAGCAAACTTCGCATCCAGTCATTTTAAAGACGGTTTCTTGACATATCATTAGGATCAATTTATTTAATTTTACCAAGGGAACAGGCTAGAAGCAAGAAATAACAACAAAACCTGTGAAATCTATAAATTGAAGCTTGAATGGGAATATCTTGACCTCGTGGTTTGAGAAATAGCCAAAATATCGTTAGTGTTGCCTGAGGCAATAAGGCAAAAGCTCGAAGGAAGAAGAAGTATTTGAACGCTTCCCAACAGCTCAGAGCATTTTGAAGACAGTCGAATGTATGGCGCGTACAAGACTGGAACTACCGCTTCACTAAAATCCTGAACATAGAAGATCTTCCAACTAAAGACTTCGAGAGTACACAGCTATTAAACTAAAAAAATGCTGCATGGTAATAGTGTTGTCGATTGCTTGATAGTTGACTCGTCCAGGAGTACAGAAAGGACGAGATGTTAAGCAGACCAGCCTTCGTGAGCCACCGTGTTTATCCTACACTAATTTGGACGAGATTGGATTTTCCGTAAAGTATCGATGCCTGGAGTTCTTTACATCTTTTTTCCAACTATGTATGACATCAAGCCTTTAGCAGAATCTTGCATCACTCCCGAGACATCTTAAAGAGGCTTATGGAAACGTTGGCGTCACGGATTTACTACTGCAAGCCGTTCACTGTCACACATCTAAAATCCTAGCCTAATCACCTTAGTCTTTAGAATAACGATTTTCACGTCAAAAACGGATTTCCACTTTGTCACATGAGAGAAGCCGATTCTGAGTGCATCGGATAAGCGGGTACTCGTGCAGCTAGTTCCTACTACATAGCTAGATGACGTTTACTAATGCTAAGTAGTCAACCAATCTGCTGCCATCCGGAAATGAAGCCTGAACGACTGCTAAATGATTACATTTGCAGGTTTTTTCCGATGCTGAGGATGATATATCAGGGAGAGCTTCTTTGACCAAAGCTTCTCATTATTCCTACTCCAACTGAACAATTAGTACCCCTCTCTTAGAATTTTTGAAAGGTTTTTCGAAATCCAACGTAGAAACCTCAAATCGAATCTAAGTGTTCATCATACCTACTATAAAGCGATTAGTCTGTCGTCTGTCTGTCTGTCTGTATGTCTTTCACGAAATTCCTTAGATCCTTTAGATCTGCCTAGAGAGACCGGGTCAAGCGTGGGATGGGTGGGCCATATCCCGAGAAGTATAAAGCACACATCAGCTTGGCGGAGCCCCGCCCACAGTGGGCGTGGCGTGCGTCGAAATGAGCTGTACTGAGGATAATGAAATTCAGTCACAAGACGGCTTCAAAACTGGGGTTTGAAGGTGGCTAGAGGTGTGCATTGGTAAGTTAGATCGAACGGCTTGAGCGGAAACTAATAAACCCGATAAAGGTCTATAATAAAAATCAGCTCATGTGGCCCCGTTTCTCATGGCCAGAGCCCCTAGCGCACGCAAGAGCGTGCGTAGCCGCCTGGTAAGTTTTATACGCCTGGAACTTCAATACGACTATTCAAAAACGTCTCTATGTCCTAAATAAGCTTTCCGCAGTCACACCTCACCAACGACATACGTATGGGTTCATAGAAACTCAGGTATAGGGCCCAGGGGCTCACTACAGCAGGCATGGTCCGAACATCGAGTCCCGTACTGATACCCGCCCAGGCTAACCACGTCCCCATTTTTTCAAGGTTTTTACAACGGAAATTTTATTGAAAATTGGCTACAAAGTAGAGTTCGTAATTACAAGTATAATTAGGTGCACATATAGAAATAAATTTATATGTCACAAGTTTTCTATTACAGAGAATTCCAACAAAATCAGCTATTTAGTTAATGGCATTCTGAACAGAAACAGAAGTAGGCATCTCCAATAGTATACTTCATATTCATGCCTGTCCTTCATTCAGGCAATACCTTTACCCATTCCCTTTTCCACTAACCCCAAACCACTATGAGCCTCAGGGGGAAGGTGGAGACGGTGGTTCGTCTGGGTAAGAGGCGAAACGAGCCATCTTTAGTTTGTGTGGTTATTTTGTCTTTTTGATGTATTTGCTCACTGTCGTTTTTATGCTCCACTGATTTCAATTTGTTACACTTAACTTACAGGACCTGTCAGGTAGTATAAAAGCACCAACTTTATATCGGCTGGCAACCACAAGTTACTGTATAGGCCACATATGTATTCATAAAGCTTTTTCAATTCTGCATGGAAACCGAAGCGTAGGTTAATTCACAAAGCGGGATTCTCTACTGCTTAAAGACTTTCAGGCCTAAGAAAGAAGCAGAGATATTGCTTATCCCATTATCAATATCTCATATAAAAAGTAATAAATCATTCTAATCAACAAAAGCACGCTTCAGCTGTTATTCAATGGGTCTCATGCAGAATTATAAACAGTCACAAGTGTTTTCTCCAATGAGTTACAGCCTTCGCTTTGGAATATTATATTACACTGAAGGCTATCAAAGCAGCGGTGGCTTATCCTGCTCGAATGCAAGAAATTATAAGACATATGGCGAAGTTTGGAGGCTGGGGAATGAGTTTGGAAACGGGGACGCGAAATTGTCACGAAACTATAATAAGCCAATCTAAGCCTTGTTTTGAAGGGAGAATCCTAAAAATTTACTTCATTCAGGTACATAGGTATATTGTTTACTTGTTTATATTTAAATTTGCTTTAACATTTTGTATATGCCAGGTGATCTGTTGCGCAGAGGCTTTGCAGTGGCGCATTTTAACATGCGTTCAATAAATATGTAAAGAACCAAGTAAACTCAACAAGGGAAGGAACTAGTGATGGATCCCAAAGGACACAAATGATATTGATCAGAACCTAAACAAATTAAATAACTCAATCGTAGGCTCCTACAAACATGAAGCCATATTTTTCGATTCTTCGAAGTTATTGAGAGGCAGAGATTTGATGGAAGTTGGATAAAGTAGAAGAAGGATTACAGAAGTCACCGCGAGAATCATTTTCCTATCAAATGTTTCCTCACGATTCCACGGAAGCTGAGGTGTACCGCACTCTCAATCTGGTCATTCAGCAAACATAATTTTTTTTTCACTGACAGTGATAGCATGCTTGTTGGATGATTATTTATCTGACATTAAAAAACTAGAATATTTAAAACATCTTTAATCTGTACCGCTAAGGTCGACCCAACAAAATATTGGTAGTCCAGATAATGAACAGCTTGTTGTAAGCCATGCACACGCCTTACACCAAGAATTACTGAGATACTTGCATAGATGCAATGTCTATAGTTTTACTAACAGGTTCTCACTACGTCCACGTCGCCAACATTTGAAACATGTACATGATATTAATGAATTTGACCTATAGTAATAAATTTAGGAAAAAAAGAAGAAATGTTCAAAGATTGTAGAATTTTTATGAGTCAAAAAGTCCTAGGAAAGGGGCAATAGCAAAGTGCGCATTTTCTTACGAAAGTGCACTCCAAAAACAGTTCTGCATCTCCAGGTATAGGGAAGTTCGTAACAAAAAGAGTGGGGCGATTATGTACTCTGTTGACATTTCTTTTCTTATGACGCCATGCACTCTACCACAGCCTAAAATTCCGCGAAAGGTTGTTGGCGTTTGGAGGGTCTACCAGTACATATCGACCTTAACTTTAATAAACTTTCTGAGTCCTTTGTTACCCCCCAAAGTGGTATTTGGCGCTAATGATGATCAAGAGTAGGCAATCCTGAACACTGCGACAATCTTTTCCGATCACTATTGCCTAGAGGAAGCACAACAATGGTCCAAACTTAAAGATAATCTCAAGAAGAGTGGCTGCTAGAGACCGATTATAAAAGGTCAAGACAGATTGGGCCGTTTACGCTGAGGAATGAGCCATGCATTACAACTTCCATTCACAACTGTGGAACGTTCGGAATCCCGTCTCGTTCAGAACGTTTGTTGGATCAACCGCTATTCGAAATATTCGAACAACTGAGACTCAGATAAATGCCAGGCTCACATAACTAGGGCGAAATTTGATCCAGAGGCCATGAAAACGATGATGGCACCTCTAGCCAATGCCTCATCTTATTTCAAGACTCTCAGGGCAACTCAGATCTATGATATTCATATAAACCTATTTATAGTATAGTTGAAGGAGATTTAACAGATTTTCCAAAAATCCTACTTCCAACCAGGGCAGATCAGAAAATTAGCCAAAAAAGGTGAATCTCGCAAGGTTAGCCAAAGATGAGTATGCCTGGGGACAACTTTTCCCCTCACAAACATAGGGATAAAATTTCTATAAAATAAAATTTGGGAGACGATTTCTCTCTATCACAGGTGCATTTCCTTGTGGCAGATTCAATTGCTAATACATTCATAAACCACTTGCTCCTACTCTACCCTGCTACTGTTGAAGTAAGTCAAAAGCAAATTGCAGCAACATGAGTAGGAAAACGGCACCATGGCTCCCACTGCTCATCTGGAGCTTCTGGCGAAATTGTACGATTTGAACAGGAAGCTACCCGACCATCCACTGATCACTTGCGACCTGCCACCAGCTCCTATCACAGAGGTACTAGCTGAACAAGAAGTTCTGCAACAACGACCAGTAGGGTTGACAGTTGACTGGGCGATAGTCGAGCCATTGGATGACGAATTTTATGAGCGCCACTATCAACTTGTTATCGAAGAAGTACCCAAAATCTGTCGATGTTGATAGCGTAGACTTCGATCTGTTTTGTTGAATGGTTCAATTTATTTGTGTCAAAAAAACCTGGTATTTTTTCTGTAGACAAAACAACTTATTTTGGGACCTTCAAAAAGATCCGTTGAGTAGGGAAATCTTCTCATTTTTCAGCGTTCATCGTTAACAACCGGTTATTAGCCATCAATGGTGACATGGGCGTTGTTTACAAAAAGAAATACAACGCGCATCATAAGCATTGTTCGGAAATGACGTGACAGTCGTTGCAATTTGATACGCGGCGAAGATAAAATGTTAGAACAAAGTGCTAGAGGGATTGGAACAATAGGGACTTTACATCTTCAACAATAACCGTTTTTACCTATGCCCTTCTCAGAAGATCAGATAAAGGAAGTATTCGCTCAGTGACCGGATTCGCGTTTGGGGAAAAAGAAAAAACGAAATGAACTTTTTACGTATTTGGAAGTCTTTCTGAAAACCTGGGCATCTAATTCTTACACGTATCAGGGGCTTTTATGCCGAACAAGTTTTTAAGAGAGTAATTAATTAATGTTAATATCCAATGAACTAGTCAAATCGTCAAGTGAAATAAATGCTCTGCAACTGGATAAACATTGAGTAAGATGAAGAGAAACCGAACCCTCTTGAACTAAAGCCACATATTTTGATGAGGTCTTCACTGCTGTCTTCAAGGAAACCAGAGAAATCATTTGCCTTTCAGGAGTGACCCACATGTCTGTGGCCGAAAAATTATAATCAAATAATCACTACTGAAATATTATTGAAAAAATAGCATTTGAATCAAGTTGTGGTCTTCAGAAGTAATGTTTCCGGGACCACAACTTTTTTGACCATTTCATAGTAACGCAGAAAGATATGGTGAGGAAATCTGATGTTAAAAAAGAAAAAACCTTTCTGAGAACCCTCAATAAACTCAAGCAGCTACCGATCCCCTATCTGGGAGGTGAAACAATCTCTTCTCCACTGCACTACCTTACGCTTCACTATAAAGACCTCAGTTTCGATTTTATTTCACTTTACAATTTGTTTGCTTAGTAGTCAGTCACAGAGATTCATAAGTTCACAAATTCATGAGGTTTTCAGAACTATCAACATGCTCTAGACCTTGTTGATAGCCTTTAACACAAACACACTTTTTTTTGAATCACAGTAGGAAACATCCCGTAACCAAGTCTCCTTCGAAAAGTAAAGACATAAAATTACTCATGCAAACAGGCTCGTTTCAAAACTTCTTGTACAAAGGTAATGAAAGCAGTACATTACCCAAAACTGCGACCACTAAGGTGCTACCTACCAGTTTTCCAAAAATTCGATAAAATATGGCTACACACTGGATATCAACCTCAGACGAGATGTAAGACCGTACCTGTCTCGCTAGTGATGTTGCTCTAATATGTTACTGTCCTTTAGGAGGACGTGACTTAATGATTCCGGAGAATCGGCTCACAATGATCAGGAGTTGATGGGACCCTTCTCTGCACAATCCGAAACCTCAAAAAAGTCTTCTAAGACTTACTGGATCAGAATGTTATGAAATCCTCACAAAAAATATTAGGAGAAACTTCCATTAGCAGATTTGAGCCATTTTCACTTCATTTTATTTGAACAATAGCTATAGTATCTGCTCATAAACTACTAATTATTTTTGTGTTTTTTGATGATTGATTTGAAGAAAACAAAGAGCTACACAAATTCTGTAAACGGCTAGAATCGAATTTTGCTCATAATCTAGAAGGGGTAATAGCCTTCTGTTCCTCAGTAAGCGATCCTATGGCATCCCATGAAGGGATTGATTCACATAGAGCATTTATGTTTGGTTAAGGCACGGCTAAGAGCTAATATATGCTAACCTTGTCCAAGCAGGGTAGCCCTTCCAAACTGAAGCGGTTTGGGTTTTCGGCACATTTACCCGTTCAACGTGATCAACTTAAAGATTCACAATCCCCCTTCACAGAGATGACGTCGGAGACTGCAGCTTCTGCAAATCTCATCACATTTTCGCGCTCGACGTTGGGGAACAGCACAATCCCGATATACAACTTTGAAGAGCGGTGCGTCTTCGATAAACTTTATTTACATACAGCAAATAGTGACATATTAATCAAATCTTAAAAAGTAGGTACGTGTGAGAAAACATTGCACATAACAAAAATCAAGTGAATGTAAACAAATTCTGGAAACCGTGCTCTTTGTGGAAGCTTATCTCTCTAACAGGTGCTCTGCCGATGGCGAAGATATGCTGAAACTTCAGCATCTTCACCTGCCATACTTTCACCAAATTAAAACTTAGGAAGTTTCAGGACAACAGATTAGATGACAAGGGCCAGAAGGACACTTTCGCGTGCGGTCGTCTCCGCATCGCTGTTTAAGAAATTAAAAAGTTTCCCCTGCGCCAGCGTTGAAGGAAGATACAGCCTAACAATTGCATTTGACTTTTGGACGCAACGGCAACAGAACAAACGACTGGAAGGGGCTGGCGTTAGTACGATACAACAAATACACCTATTAAAGGCACTGTTAACAAAAAAGTAAGGGTACCCTTTTTTTGACGGTAATAGGTAGAACTACTTCAGAATAAAGCGATAACAACGAAAAAGCGCAAAAAAAACGAGCAACAAAAAGTATTACAAAGGGACAAAAAAAGTGCTAGGAAGTGGGGTTGGACATCTTTCACATTGGAAAACGGCGGTTAGGGAGTGTTCGAGCGAGAATGCACGAAGGCGACGCAGTGTCTGCAATACAGACAACACATCGAATTTAACGGAGTTTCTTAAATAAAAAAACATTTGCATGCAATAGTCTACACAAAATATGTTGAAATCTTCAATAAATTTACGAGAATAGTTAAAGAATGCTACCGTAAAAAATTCATAACAAAAAAAAAACAATAAAAATACAAACATAAAATAGAAATAATAGTTGAATACTAGCTCCTGTACGAGGCGGTCGACCAGCTGATCATTCCTGGCTATTTGCCAATCTGCGTATCGATTTTTCACCAGCTTCGCTCCAGTGCGAACGTGGTGAATGACAATTTGAACACGTAGTCAGCCTAACGAGGGGCGGAGGCATCGCGTTCCCCACTGTTCCTGGCCTTATTGTGCCCTATCCAGCCGTTTTCCAACCTAATTCCTGCACAAATGTTATCAGAGGGGGCTCAGAATTCTAACCATGTGCATATCTTCGAAACCATTTAGTCGTTAACAGTGCCTTTAAGCAAAAGTGGGTGTATTTACAAGCCAGACGCAATGCTCACAATCACTGATGAGGCTAGGTATTTATTACAGCTGAATCGGACGAATTCTACAAATTTAAATTTGGAAGTGAAATATGGTAATAACCAACCATTAGACATTTCTTGATACCACAGATATTGGGCCATCGAGGTATTTGGCTAAAGCGTGAAGCTTGGCCCGTAGTAAACCCAATTGACAGTCTTTGGATGCCTTGAATGAGATGAAAATTCGTGTATGAATGTTCGAGAAAGGCAAGTATTATGAAAGACTCAAAAAAATCATAGCTAAAAACCGCTTTATTAGGTTTTTGAGATTACTAAATATAAATAATAAGTTCTACAGGATCTTACCTTCAAAGCAAGCAGCATGTTTGCTACTCGAGTTGCGGCAATGATACCATCTTCACATACAAACATGGCCTCCTTCAAATCTTCTCGTCCACCTTAAGTCTAATATAAATACCGCAGAATCATATATATGAATAATGTATGCCAGCCTTTTTTATCAAACGATTCCCAGATACTCGAGATCAAAGCCGCAGAAATGTTTGCGTGGTCCTTGCCAATACCGAAACCATTGTAGGCCAGCAATAGACCTAAAAGGTTGAATTTACTCTCAAAAAAGTTTACAACTCCTGTCATACATAATATTATAGGCTATTCGCTATCTGTACTTATGATTGAAGAAACACCAAGGACTGTCCCAGAAGCAACCTTATTAAACTACAAGAAAAAAAGATAAAAGCAGTTATTACGATAAAGGGAGGATGTGAATTTCGTCTTCAAAGAGGAAAATGCTGGTAGAAAGATAGAGGATGTAGATCAGGTGAGTGACCATCCTCTCTTTGAAGAGCCGTACCGCCTGATTTCAGCATTGAGCGCAAGTGAACGGTGTGCGTCGATGCACAACGTCCAACGATTTAGAACATGGAAACTCGTATCAAGGACTGATAGTGCCATAGCGTCGCGGACATTTTCAAAAGACCGTGACCTAGCCTGCTAAGTAGCTCTTATTCTTTACTTCTTCACTTCTACCGATGGATTCACAAAAAAACTCTTCTGCTCGTTCCCCTCTGGTCGGCCATAAAGCTCGCTATGGATTGACAGAAAGGAAGGGAAACCAGGGACACACCTTCACGGTTGAATAGCAACGCTCCAGTGACTCCTGCAGTGTTCGCCTGTCCAAGTACTTCTTCCAGAGCTTTTTGACGTAACATCTGGATTTTCATAAAATCTTGTAGAGATTCACAATTGATTTCGTGGAGGTGCAAATATTTTACACTGTTCGACAGAATACCTTATCAAAGAGAATATATTTTGCAGAGAGTTTATGTACATACTTTCAAAATACAGTGAAAAAACAAGAGATGTCAACAAATAAATATAAATAAAGTTGATTGCAAAAAAAAGTTTCATCACTCCGTCCAACGATGACTGCATGTAGTGTCTACGCACACATAGTAAAGCCTCATCTCCTCCTGAACGAAGTCGAGTGAAATTTTAAGAAGAACGACTTTACTTCGTCGGTAAAGAGTAAACAGGCCTGACCTCTGCCCTTCTGGTTTGGGCTTGGAAGAAAACTGCTTGAGTACCGCCACACTTTGGGCACGGATGATCTTCAGTTTTCGGCAGCGTAGGATCGTGTACTACGTCAGCACAAATTTGAGTCAACTCACTAAAAGTAACTCATACTTCAAGAGATACCACAAAACATGGGCACAAGACAGATAACTCTCGACAACAAATACTTACTCGACTTCGTGTACCAGCTTATTTACGTATATACATGGATTGTCGGCAATCTGTTTATGATCACAGTTTCTGCATGCATACATAAGTTGACGATGTTCTTTGTCTTCTCGAGGATAGAGCATGTTATTGCTAAAGAGATACGATACATCAAATTGGAAGATCCGATCAGCACTTTTTCAAATAAAAATCTTGACAGATGTAATCTCGATTTGCTTTGAAAGCTCGGTAAAAACGTGCCATGGAGCAGCCATAACAACTTTCTATGACGCTTTGTCTGCCGTATTTAGAGACATTTCTAATCGATTTCGGAAAGTATTACAAAAAGGGAAGACATCATCCCGCAGAAGCTCTATCCGACAGACTGTGGCTAATCAACTATTCCAGTATAAATTCTTGAGGTCACCGTGCTACGTCACTAAATGTGAGAACAGGTCGGAATAGTGCAATACAGTTTTTTCTACTTGGACGTGAACTTGCGTAGCTTCACTAAAGATCCCTCAATAACACAACTCCACTCACCATTCTGGACAGAATTTGATGCCAACGAAACCAGGGCCACTCATGATGGGGGAGCTCACCACCTTAAAGCAACTGACGAGCACCACATCGAAAATACACGCGCGTCAAAAGTATGGTAGTATCAGAATGATTCAACATAACGTCGGGCCCCAATGGCCGTCAATAAAATCTCGTGGCATCCTGATAACCGTTTATGAAAATAAATGAAAACACCGAACTTTGCTATACAGCTAGAACTTATGATGAACTGTAAAAGGATTCATCAGGAAAAACCTGATACATAGAACATGTTTAAAAATGACTGATTTCGTAGAGAAAAATTATGTAAAGGTATGTACATGTGGATTGAAATTACGAAAGAAAACGCAGAGGACAATATTACAAACCCATCGACAAGCGGCTCACTTGTAAGATGTGCGAATTTCACCGACAAATAACATTTTTTATAATACAGTACGCACCACTTCTATAGCTATGCGAGCTCAGTGACTAATCCCCGATATCACAACGAATAGAAGAAAAGAGGAGAAAGTTACCACCATCTGGCATACAAAAAAACTTCCTAAAATCATTAATGACAGAAGTTGGAGAGGTTCACAACAGAAGCCCCTAACGAAATGTCAATGAAGCTGATTCACCAAAAAATGAAAAAGTTGTAGCATGAAAAACAATTACTTTGTACAAAGTTTACCGATTATACTTAATCCTCCCAATCTACCCAGTTATCTTCCTTCTTCTTCGGGTCTTTGGATTCTTCTTCGTCTTTTGCACGAGGTGTAAGGGGTCCTGATTGTTCATCCTCCCCATTAGTCGAGCTTATTTCCTAAATGTACTGCTATCATCAAAATACGAAGCTACAGTGCTAAAACATTAATTCTTGGAGAAACGGATAAAAAAAACAGAGGCTCCCAAGCATTAGGTATGTAGTGAACCAAGCACAAAGCAACTTAGCATAAGGAGGTAACATATTTCAAAAGCCTCACCACTGCACCATTTGAAGGCTTGAAATGAAAAAATAAGTGTAATGAGAAAACCAGAGCGATTTGAAAACATACTAAATGGTAAATACAGAAATAGATGTAAGAACGCAATGAAGCAGAATCTATGGAGGAAGTAAGTTTATTCAAGGCCCACAAGTTCGACGCATGAACCAAACTTTTTGTTACTGCTTATTACGCCCTATTCACAACTGCCAATTGAGTCAGTCGCCACTGGATAAAAACATCCGTACCTCAACATAGTTCTTTTCGCTGCACACACTCCAATCATCCGCCGAAGGGGCAGGACTAGTGGGCTGTTGGTCAACAACAGTAGCTAGTCCATCCGATTCAGGCGATTCTCTGTCTCCTTTTGCCGTGCCTGTAAAAAAGACACTAAACAAGAGTTCACAATCAAAGACTCTTTTATTTTGTGGATTTTCAAATATAAAGGGTTCTTAGGGCACAAACACTGAAAGCGCAGCAACCAATTAAGCGTCCATTGCAAGGGCAAGAAAGATCATTTACAACTACAAAAAATATTTTTAAGAAAAGTACCCTTTTTCTGTTTCTTTCCATCAGTCTTGATAGTCAGTTCCTTCAACGAAAATGATTGGCGGAGTTCCTCGTCCATTTCTGCAATTTGCACGGCAAAGAAGTACCGGGACCAGAAAACTTTGCTGTCCAACTCTGACGGCACCTTAAAATGTTGGAATGTATCAATACCATTGAAAATATAAGAAGGGATCTTGGCTATCAAACCGAGCTCAAAAATAACGACAGTTTCTAAGTCGAGAAGATGTGTTATTCCCCCCTTCTTCTACAGAATACGAAAAATTCTAAGATGATAGAGGGTCTTATTAAGACCCACTTTTGAGAAATGGCGATCGTAATGACCATGTTCCAGCCTGTCCAGAAAGAAAAGAAACCGAAACTAACCAGCTTGGAGTAGATCTCCCTCAATGATTGGTTATTTGCAATAAGCATATTGATTTCAGCATCGTATTCTTCAATATTAAATCGAGCCACCCATTTCGAATATCCTTCAGCATTCTCTGGTTCTTTGCGGAAAGTATTTTCAGTCGATTGTAACTCCAACAACTTCTCCTGCAAAGACTGTTCTGAAATCTAAAAAAACATAAGTGTAATATGGATAAATCAGACAGAGTTGTTCTTTGTTAACTGCGACTTTCAATTTTGCAGGTTACTATTGATGAAACCTACCGGAGGTAAAATGGTTTTACGGAAAATTCTCGGTCGAATAACTTCAGTTATGTCTTCTTCGCCATCGGTTGTTTCTTCAACAGCTAAGCTCTTAACAGTATCGGTGACGGTGTCCACGACAGACTTCATCCAACCAAATCCCAATGCAGCACCTTTTTCGACCTAAAAATCGTGGGTATACAATTATGGCAGTAATCAAGAGAAATTAAATTGATAATCACCATGGTCCAAGGTTATCAGAAAAAAATGTAAAGGCCATCTATGTTTTCCAAAATTCATCAGTGATGCTGGCGCTCACTGGGACGATAAAGTGAGTTCATAGGGAATTTTTCCGATTTTGTATTCATTCAATTTTAACTTTTTCGAATACAGCGCTCCGAAATGTGGCGAAGAAAATTGAAGGTATATTATCGCCGTGATTCACAAATGTTGTCACTGTGTTTTTTGCTCTACCAAGTAGAAAGGACAGTGAGTAATATCTCGACGAACCCGCGATCCAGATATTTCGAACACGGCTGGTTTTTTAGCTAATAACAAATAAATTTTTGCATTGCTATTTTGAAGTTTTCGTGCAAAACTATGATTGATTTTGAAATCTTGATTTTTTTGCTGTATTTGGTCTCAAAAAGAAGAGAAACCGATGACAAAAATAAATCCAATAGAAGTTGAAATTCTAGATTAACATACCTTAGCAGCCAATGAACTTTCATACGACTGCGACTTCGGAAGCGTATCAATATCAGGTTTCTCCTCCTTTTCATCGACCACCGGCTTCTCTTCTTCGTCAGGCGTAACTAACTTTTCTAGATATTGCGCCTGCTCTTTGATAACAGTTGTGGCCGTGTCGATGCCTGAGCATATTTATTATTGTCGAATTATCAAAGATATACATATAGGAGTTGCTGAATACCTCCTTTCGCAGCGGTCGTGAGACCAGCAACTTCCTGAGTCATAGCGTCTCCAAACTCGGCCAAATCCTTCTTCATAAGATCGAGTGTATTCTTTGTCTGAAGCGAATTCTGTTATTGCCGAGCGAGTAAAATGTCATTACTGGCTGTATTTCTGAAGGACACTGGGGGTTTCCATTCTGACGCCATTGCGCCAGGCTAAATTATGAACATCGGAGGAAATAAGAAAGGAAGGATAGACGGTACGTGAGAGGATTTTGGAAACCTCAACGAAAAACAGTGACTTTCCCAGTTAAATAGGATCTCGACTAAAGCAGTTTCTGGTTAAATAATTCGAGTGACAAATGAATTCATACCTTCTCCCTAGCTGTATTGAACCAGGATGCACCGGCAGAAAGCCATGCGGTCGGAATTGGATTAAGACTGGGCAGTTCCTCCTCTGTGGCGCTGTCTTTTGACAGATCCTCGGGCTCGTCCTTATCCTTACCAGGTTCTTCAGTTACTGGTGGCGTAGACGATTTCTCGTTATTCATCTAGGAAATCGGAAGGTTAGAAGGAGTGCAGAAGCTTGGTGACAAAGAGAAGTTCCGAAAATGCTGCCACAAATTTCGCTCTACGACAGTATGCGTTTGCAGGGGCACGTGCTTTCATCACAGCGAACATTGATCGCTTCAATCAATGGCAAACAAAATCAGAACGAGCTGACAGCTAATATATCGAGTATCAGCAAACAGGTGATAAGAAACTGAGTGGAATGAGAAAGGAAGTGAGATGGGGAATGGGAATGAAGAGGGACCTCAGCGAAGACATGAGCTGCTTGATGGATGGGGTTTCCTTATGTGGTGAACGACACGTTGTGAAACGGCGTCGTTCACTGCCGAAACACTGCCATAGAAGTCATCGTTGGTGGATCTAGTTCTTATCGAATACATGATCGCAAACTGGGAGTTGTAATAGAGGAAATCGGCCTATCATGTTCACTTTTTCGAATCGCACATAACTACGAGGAGTTAAGAAGCGAATGGTTCGGTCATTATGCTTTCTAAAATTGGCATTGCCTTCAGTTCGATACTTGTTGATAAAAGGCCCGAAAGAAGGGAGATAGAGCTCAAGGAAATTCCATTTTTCGGCTAATTTTTAATTCGAAACAAAGTCATAAATGATGTTTCCATGAAATACGGACGGAGATTGTTTAGTGGCAAGTGGCACTTCATTACACATACATCCGATGGATACTCGCCCAGGAATACCAATCCATCTATGGCTGTATAATTGGTAACAGATTGATCTGGGAGGATAAAAGCACAGACTTGTACATCGGTTTGCCATCACAATTGATTGTATGGGCCACATAAGCATTCATTAGGCTTTTACGATTCTGAATGGAACTCGAATGCATTATATCAACGGGATTAATTAACGCCAAAGACTCTTTCCTCCTGACTAAACAGAAAATGTGCTCAGTCATGTCAGGAAGAAAACGAATTAGCTATTAGAGTGCAGTTTCTCGTTTCTACAGCACTTCGAATACAAGCTATAATTACTAAAATTTGGGTGGTTGCAGGAGTACAGTAGATGATTTGAAATCAACAATCAGAGAGAAGTAAACAAAAAAACAACTTTTCTAAAACGTATTCAAAATAACACGCGTGGGCTTCCATAAGGAGATACTTTTCCGAGGTGGTTTCTAAGAACTTCGATAAAAACTACATAAGCTTTCCTCTCAATATACCTGATTATAACCTTAAATAAACATCCACATAAATCATTAGAAAGGATGTGAAAAACTGTAATGACGATGGAAAATAGGATGTATTACTTCCAGATGAAGCTTGACAACCATAATTTACACCGAGAATGCAAATTAACAGGAGGAAGCTTTAAAAGAACGATGATTTGGTGACCGAGAGTGAAAGTCGGAACAACACATGTGGTTTACCAAAGTGAATGCGAAAACATGAAAAGGAGTCCCAAGTGAATTCCCAGGCCTATTGCTCCGAACTTCTCCTCACGACTTACCCATTCGCCAAGGCGAAAGCAGTAAGGAAACGTCGATCGAAAGAAAACCAATCACGCCTGGGCAACAAGCCGCTTTGTGATGGGGAAAGCAGCGGCGCGCAGACCAAAAACAACTGCTGACTTTGCCGTAAACTAAAAGGTTTGGTGTGAGCACCACACAAACAGCTTAATTCACGACAACGATTTGCAAACTCTGTAAAGGGAGCCTTCAGCCATAACCGTAAAAGACTTCAAGGTACATAATAATGAGGAAATGACGTCGCTGTTTGATTAATTCTTCACGTTGGGCCACGAGCGTGGACTCAGTTTTGCATTTTGGAGATCACTGCAAGAGTAGCGAGCCTTTTTAACGAGAGTAATGAACCAGTGGACTTCCCGCTTACTTTTGGCCTCTCTGCTACAACGGTCGTTACTTGCTCAGTTGGCAACGAGCAAAGTCCTGACGTTTTCAGCTCTGGCTGAGCCCTAAATTTCAAGTTGTGCAGGCTCTCACTAGTTGAGTTCATAGTATCGACGCTGACGCCGACGTCGGCTAAGAACGCTTATGTCAGCGGTAGTGTGAATACAGCCACTGCTCTTAGCACAACAGCTTTCTCAGCTTTTATAGGGTTTCTCCCTTTCTACCGATAGATTGTAGTGAGTTTCATTCCGAATAAGTAGTGTTGCCTGCACTGCAAAGAAAAGGATAATTCAGGTTCCGATTACTCGCCTGTCAGAATCTACAATGAAATATTAATAATTAAGTTGGACGTGGGGAAACTGTTGGAGGTGATGATCGAAGTACGGCTCCAGTAGGGTACCCTCGGTTAATGGTAAGAGCATTCGTCGTTCTTCGTGGGACCCACCCTAGGTCGTTTATGTAACAGTGGGTTGAACGTATGGGACGACCAGGGTCAAAATAGCAGGGTTATCCGAGCGTATTTCGGGAAGACCTTCTCAGAACCTCGAAACAAACCTGGCAGAGAACCTAGCCATACTTATGAGGCAAATGGGAAAAAATTAAAAGATGGGTATCTGGGGCAAACGGCTTAGCAGCATGCCTAGAAAAGAAACCTAGCTAGCAATAACGCAATGTCAACCATGGTTTTTATCCCTTGAACACCTGGACTGAGGGTATTTCTCCCTGGCCTAATTCATTATTGTAAGGGCGAAGGTGATGTTGGGTCAAGTGAGACACCTCAGACCAATCAAGCCTTCCATTCTTCCAGGATCGATTGAATGGTACCGGACTCTTCTGGGAGGATGCCTGCCATTTCAACCTCCCAGAGGCTACTTTCAGAGTTCGACGACCGTCCGTCCGTCCCTCCGTTCCGTCCGTCCGTCCGTCCGTCCGTTCAGCGCGTCATATCACGTGCCAGCGCTGTCAGCACTACTCTAGCGACCGCCGTCGCAGCACGCGCTGAACGGACGGACGGACGGACGGACGGACGGACGGTCGTCGAACTCTGAAAGTAGCCAGACGAGTCTGATACAACTGTTTCGTACATCGACCGCAAGTCACTGAATAGGTCGTATACGCATTGAAATACTACGAATTTAAATGGAAGTCGTATGCGTGGCGTAAAAATTAGATTGATGAACGTCAAAAGACTCGGGCTTTTCCCGGTTCGAAAAGAAGGTAGGTAGGGGAGGGGGGGGGCCTGAAATATATCCATAAGTTTCATCAATCGACTTCATGTGCAAGATACGGATTGATCATTCCCGAAAGAGCTTCTTGCTGTTATTTCGTTGTTTTGAACAGCACTTCCTCCCACGTATTTAATGGCTTAGCTTATTGGAATCCATAAATCACCAGGCATAGCCCATAGGCGATATTATTTCTATGAAGATGGTCGTTTTTACATTTTTTGCTAGCCCCAATGCTACTGCCGTTCGAGGGCGCATTTCGCCGATTACATTTCGGCTATAATAGAATTTCAAGGACAAAAATGCTTGATTGGTACGGATTAAGTGTTTCTCGGTGAGAGGGTGGCCCTCTGGTCATTCGGCTATTGACTGGCGACTTTTTTAACCGGATGCGGTACCAAGACGTATATTTCGTGGCCCTTATCGCTGTCATACTGCCAGTTATTACTGTCAGTGGTAAGTTGCTTTTATTGATAAAAGAAGTATTATAAGATTTTGCTGCCTTGATATGCTGATTCTTACAAAATGCCTAGATTTTATGGGTTATTGAAGGTTACTAGTTAACGATAGAGGTGGACGGTTTGATTAGCTCCGACGTAACTCGATATTATCTCCTGTGCGAGCAATAAGCTGTCTCTTTTTTCACCTTGCCCGTACCACCTCACCATCTGAGTGGGATTGTCAGAATGTTTCCACGCAGTCTTTTTTTTTCATGGATAAAACCTCACATTTGCTCTAACGCTCCCCAAATGTCCCCATAGAAAACCCATTCAAATCATCAAACTATTGAAGATTCAGTTAGCGATAAAAATGATTTTGGAGATCCCCTGCTGATATGAAATTTTGGCCCCTGAAGAGGGCACATGCCCCTGCCTGATAGAGAAACGGCCTGAATAAGGCTTAGCAAAGTCCGGAAAACCGATCGTTTTTGCCGTCGATACTCCCAGGAAAAGACGTCTTTTAAGGTGTTGTAGAGACTGATCTCATTCGAAATAGACCACGTTTACTATATATGCAACCAGCTGATAATCGTCAATGGCTAATACACGTCCCTCTACGCTGTTGGAATCTTCGGTCCAAACACACTCTTTGTCATCATAAAGGCACCCAACCCAGGGTTCAAGAAACTTCCCTTATTGAGATGTTTCAGCCGATTTCATCGTTTGCTTTGTTACCGAAGATCTCTTCCGCACTTTAAGTCTTGTAACCCATTGAAGATTCATAAAATGGTCGCTAATTTTGCTTCCAACGGTGATCTTTGTTCCTGTCTAAAAGTGGAAATAGAATAGAATTCTAGATGGAATTCGAATGCATGGCGTGTTCTAATTAAGCTCAACGTGTAATGTAATCTGGTAGTTCTTACTTACATGTGACCAGCAAATGAATGAAAAATAATTTATTGCATCTGAAAATCGTTTCTTAAAATTGTCGTCTATGACGTTATCACCACCAGCCCATATTGTAGCCGTTGTTCCACATGTTAAAAGATTCGCTTTCACTAAATCCAAATGAATCACCCCACATACCGCCGCCAAATCCACCCATTGGCATTCCCCAGCCAAACTGTCGCCTTGGTCGTTGATGGCTGAAATTCAAAGCAGTAATGTGGTGATTAGTCAAAAATAAGGCGCAAGCAAAGCAGAAAACACTAACGGTCTGTAAGCGTTGGACCTCTGAGCCGGTACAGCACTGGCGATAACCAGGATAGCAATGAAGCAGATAAGTAAGAAAGATCTATTCATGGCTGGAAGGCTATCGTAGTGACCAATGAAGGCTGTTTTATACACTTATTAAGGACACTATTTAACGAACGGTGGTCATCAGACAGGTTTTCTGTCCTTAAGACGCACATAAGTTCAATCTCAGGACGCTAACCGCTAAGTTCATGAGCCTGCTACGTCATTTGGGAGCGAAAAACACTTGAGATCTCATTATTGAACACTGAATCCCAAAACTAGGGATAACTCCGCCCTTCAGGGCTGGACTCGTCCTTTCTCCTTCAACACGGTGTGCTCGAATTTGGTAATGGAGCACATTTTCTGTCGTCAGAATACTTCAAAAGACCTACTTAAGTATAACTAACCCCTCAAGGCCCAAATCATAATTTCCAATGTTCTGTCGTTTTCCCATTCGGGAAGTGGAGGGAGTAAATGAAGAATTATACTTCTTTTACAGGTTCTGACCACCTCTCAGCAAAACATAAGATCTTCGCAGATATCTTCAAGAACTACAATCGTTATATTCGACCTGTACGGAATGTTTCCACTACTACTGTTGTGTTTATGGACAATGGCTTACGATCGATTTTACGCACTGTGAGCCAATATCGGCTTCAGACTTGATTTTTATTTTTACTTATATTTGTTTATTTATTTATTTGGTGAATTTTATTATTATTCATACTTATTCATTTACTCAAAGGACTCACTCAGAGTTCAGTGATCTAGTGATTGGGGTTAAAGTAGCAGTCAAAACAGTTGTTATCACTTACATAAGCTGTTAATCAAATTCCGGTCCAGTTTCGGCCCCGGACCAACGAGCCTTCTACTGCCATGGGAGGTTCAACACAGAACTTTCAATAAGGCGTATCCGATACATATGTTCACATGGTTTGCTTTTTTGGGATATCGGTCGAGCGCGCGGTTTGTCTCAAAAGGGCCTCATGGACATTGGTTTAAGGCACAGTTCGCGATAAAGACGGTTTCTTAGGTTTCCCATGGTATGAATTCGAAGCCCCTCCTGTACCTTGAGTGCCGTTATAAGGTCGAAAAACGTCTTAAATAGGGCACAATAATTGATCAGATATTGTATCGTGTGAATGCCACACCCGAAGTGGAGTAGTAGAGGTTGCACAATCCCAAGTTGCTCCCATGTGGGAAGTTCCAACAATATGCCATAATTCATAACGATAGGAAGGGTAATTTCGGACAATTTAAGCTTGATGCACTTAGCTCTTTAAACAGTAGGAACGAATGAAATCTCGTCCGAACAGCGCTTATATTGCTATATCCGTCAGGGTGATCTCGTACAACCTCTATTTCCACTGCTTTGAAAGGGTCTAGTTTTTCGTGAAGTAGGCGGATTTTCTCGCTTTCTTCGTCACAGTTGTACTGCTCTACATCAACGCTTCCACCTTTCAAATTAAAAAGGGTACCTCGAAATTGTCGTGAACTATGTCTTTAAGATACAACCTCATTGTGGAACTTTGTGCGAACATACCTGAAGGCGCTGATGATGGGTTACTCACTCACTCCGCTGCATCTGTTTTCAAACCTGTGCAGGCTCTAATACACTGCTCTTTCACCGCTAAGCACCCCTCTAGAAGACCCAATCGTTCCTTATCCATCTTATTTATTTTTTCATTCCAAAGAATCAAGTGGTACTGATTGCAGGATGAAGTGAACCAAGTGATTGTGCTGAAAGAATGGCATAGAATGTTTTGGCATGATGAATTTTTGGTATGGAATCCAGCCGAATATGATAATATTACAGAAATTCAAGTACCTCGAAGCCTTATATGGCTACCGGATATTACCCGAATTGATTTGTAAGTATTAAGTGATGAGGGATATTCTGTGAAAGTAGTGAAACGAACTCAAACCTTTTTTTCTGTATCGTTCCTTCCTTTTGAAGATTGGATCAATCTCAATCGATGCCTGACGATCGGAGCTATGTCATGGTCGACCATACTGGCTTCATTCGTCATTCAGTATCCCACGTTGTAAAGGTATTCTGCGGCTACAAGATTACAATGTGAGCCATTGATAAATCCATTTTCAAAAAACCAACTCCTAAAGTTGCCAAATTTCGCCACCACCCATGAATTCTGTATGTCACGGCAATGTAAGTTTGAATGGCGAGATCACATTTGGGCTCACGTTATTTTGTAAACATGCAACAGTTCTAAAGCATACCCAAATTGGCTGTAACAGCAAATCCCAACTTAAAACGCATTGGAGAAGTTGCCCTCAACTGCTTCCCACCAATGAACCTCCTTTTGTTACCATTTTTTGACTTTGCATCGCTATAGAATTAGTTACATTTGATACATCGTCGTGACATACATCAATGCTAGTGCTACACCTGTGCGGAGGTGGGCTGGTCGTTATCCAAATTGACCATACAATCGGATCAATAATCGATTATTTACTTCAGGTTTCCTTTTGATCGACAAAATTGCACACTTCATTACGAACCATGGGTGTCTACACATGTGGAGATTGTCATCGAAGTACATCCAGAACCTGATGTTAACCATTACAAAACGAGTAACGGTAAGTCACAAGGCCAACCAGTTCTGTGATAGGAGTTTTAACAACAGGTTTTTTTTACTAGTAATTCTAATTATGTAGCTGCATAAGACGTCATTTGTCGGAATTACTCAGTTATTTACATGAAGTTGAGAGAACAACTCAAATTTTGCACTTAGAATGGGATCTGATTTCGTATACTGCTCGTACTGGCCTTGGCTCATATCCACCGATGCTATCAAAGGCTACCTCTCGTGCATTCTACGATATAGTGATCAAACGAAGGTGAGATATACACTAAGCCTTCTACCAGTCCGGTAAATTCAAACCAGGAGAGCCTTCAATTTGAACCATTTTTAAATCCCAACCTATTTCTCCTAATATACAAGCACTTGAAGGCACAATTCACGATAAAAACGGTTTCCGAGATTCCCCACCAGATGAATTTGAGGCCCCCCGGGTATGGTATATCTGGCACTATTAGGACGAGAAACGGCCTAGTTAGGGAGTTGTAAAAGCCCAAAGATTGGCTCGCGTGTATCCTCGGACGAGTTTTACCGGCATTCTAGAGGCTGCACCGATTACAAGGGAACCCACGTAGAAAGCTCAAACAACTTGTCATGACTCAAACGACAGTGAAACACATTTCTGTACAGTTCTGGCTTGATGTAGTCAGCTCTTTGTGCAATTGCAATAATTGAAAACTCTATATTCCCTACTTTGAAGGAGCCATATTTTTCTCAAAATCGGCCAATTCTCTCGCTTTCTTCACTACCGATGAACTATTCCCAACATACACTTCCGCTTTTCGGCTAGAAAGGGGTACCTCAAAATTATCGTGAACTGTGCCATCAAGAAAATTTCAGCTCACGCAATGCTTTCGCCTATAACTTTACCTTTTCAGACCTCATTACTATGTGGCGTGCTTTATGTTGCCCTGTTTCATTATCATGGAGTTATCCCTGCTTGGTAAGTAGCCTCATTTTTACCCAATGATGAATAGAAAAAATTAGGATCGCGTTTTGGTAGAAATATGAATACGTGGCGCGAATTCGCGTGCTGATTCGGACCGAGCAGTTTTTTTTTTTTGCATTTTTCATATTTACAGGACTTTTTTCACCTTCAAGTGACACTGGTGAACACAATGAAAAGGTGACAATGGGTTTGACGAGCTTACTATCGATGACCATCCTTCTGCTTATGATATCCGAAAATCTCCCTAAAACTAATGAAGGTCTTCCAATTTTAGGTGAGTTTGAGAGAGAGATTATTCATTTTCTACGATCTTTCTTAAAAAAATTTCCTCATGAGAACATGCACATTTCAGGGTTCTTTGTGCTGGTCGAGATCCTTATTGGTGCTTTGGCTACATCCACTACTGTTTACGTTTCTCAACTACAGGGTATCAGTTTTTACCATTAATTTTTACTCAGAATAATTTTATTATCATGGTTACAGTACTGTTTGCGAATTCTGTGATAAATCATATCTAAAAGAAAGACAGAACTTCGGAATTTCGGAAATGTGTCAGATGACTTGTGGCTCGAATGGCTTCAGAATACACACTCGACCTATAAACATGCCTTTCTCTGTAAATTCGCCCAACTTGATGACTGTACTCTCCAATAGGGCAAGGAAAGTCCATAATACATTAGAGCACGTGGACGCGAAGTCGTAAACGTATGTCACGACGATGTATATGGCATAAGTCATATCTGGGTGGAGGTGTTGCAAAAATTAGGCGAATATGTTAAGGGAAGCGAATGGTAGCATGAAATAGGTGAAGTTCGGGGCACCTGTAAAAATAGGCCCAACGCCTGTTCAACGGGTCAGGGTGATCTGGAGTCTGGGCAGAAGGTAAAGAGCCAGGAGTTGTGCTTGGGCTGTATGAGAGAGCGAGCAAATTCCGATTGGAACGCCTAGGTAGGGGAAAATTTTTTTCAAAGGAGGTATGATTTCAGAGCTACCGATGACGATTTCAGGAAGTTGGCGTCAGGACAAGGAAGTGCCAACGTTTCTGATGGCTTTGGCTCGGTTCAAATTGTTCAGCCGAGTACATCGAAACGATTCCTGTTCCAGCCTACTTAACGAGCAGCTTAATCAAACGAATAACGTTTCAAGAAAGGTTTGTCTAAATTTTTCAAACCTATATTATTATTATTGCTCCGATCATTGTTTCTATTTATTCTTGTTTATTTGGAATGTTTACAAATTGGATTGTTTACAGGATTCACAGACCCGCAGCGTAATACTGGCTTACATTGGGAACTTTGAACGCAATATTAATTTGATTTCGGCCGACGTCCAAAGGTTCGATTGACTTTCGGTAGAAATTCAAAAAAAATTGAATCGAGAGACAAATCCAGCTCTATGAAACTGATCTCAAAACAATCTAACCCTACCAAACTCCTCCTCAACTTTGATCAGAAACCAAGTCCTTGGCTCACCTTGAGCAACTGGTTCTTCCAGATCTCAACCTCTTTAGCGTACTGAAAGAAAAATGATTCAAATGTTAGAAAATAAGCAATAAGATCTACACAAAAATTGGTCCGACCGTAATGATTTGCTTTTCAGAAAAGCCGCTCAGAAACGTCTACGGATGAAATGGGTCCTTGTGTGTGAACGTCTCGATTCCCTCTTGCTTTTATTCTTTCTTACTGTCAATACGCTATTTTTCGCTGTTCTACTGCTCGTGGGATATATGTCCAATTAGATTTATTTTCTCGCTTCAAATTATATCCTTACTGATTCAGAAGAAGATTGTAGATTTTCGTATTTTTTTCAAAAATTACTGCGCATGAGTACAAATTGATAGACGATAATTGATGATAGCTGATAAGTATAATCGATGATATGACGGATATCTGAATGTTTAATAAAGATTACCCAACGATTCGTTGCACACTACCTCATGACTTCTATACAATTTAATTGCTTCTGAAGTGACCATAGAAGCCACGAAAGGGGCCAGGGAGGGAGGGGCGTACGTAAAAAGTGATACTACGAAGCGAGCTCTTTCTAAACTTCAACCTCCTTTCTCTCCCCTCACTCCTAATTTCCTCTCTCACGAGCTCATCCATCTCCACCAATGGATTAGGCAAGAATTTGCTCCTCGTAAGTATGGATAAGGACGATCACACTGGCTTTAACAAGTCACAGTAAAAACCAATGTACTTAAAAGGCGTCAAGGTTTTCAAAAAAGTCGAAAGGCATGGCGCATCCAAGTATGGATTAACGATAAACATTTTCTTCCTTTTCCGAAATGTTCCATTAAAAAGAGAAAATTATAATTATTTTTTCATGGTCGACATGCTTAACATGATTGCAGTCTTGCTATCAATAGGCGGCTTCTTGTGATTTGCCAGCTTGATTAGCCTACAATGATTGATGGAACCAGTTAGTTACCAGCGCACACATTAAGTATGAATTCCTTCTTGCCAATTGAAGATATGGCTCTTATATGTAGCTGTAGCCCTACTGATACTTCCTTCTTGTCCATTTTGTGGACGATTTGTTGTAAGCTCTCCAAAATGGCTTGTTTCAGCAGCATTAAAGTGGAACAATCCACTTTTGCTTTCACTGTTCTGAAAATGATTTCAGAAATGAAGTTCAGGAAATTTATACAGGCGAAGGGGCTCTTGCCGTCAGAATTTTCCTGCATATATTTCCAAGTAAACTTCTTCAACTTGTTTTTCAGGGTAACCTTTGCAGTTCCCTAGCCAGCGCCTATCCCTTTTAATCGACGCATCCTGAATGCTTCACTCACCTCTGTAACCCGTTTCTTGTTTTTTTAGAGATTTTTTCCGGCATAGATCAGGATTTTCCTTTGGATACACTGTTAGGTTACACCAACCCAGAGTGCTTCATTGATTGGCATCAACTGGTCCTGTCCACTTTGCCCAAAGAGAACTTGCCAATGCCTTCGAAACATCAGCAGCCCGGCTTTTCTCCCACACGCTCAGAAGTTTTCCTTTTTTCGCTTTTTCTTGGTTTTCTTCCTTTCCTTTCTTTTCCCCTTCTGCACTTTTCTCGTCCTTTTGAAGATTTTTTAAATGTAGCCTGACATAGGTATAGTTACTACTGCTGTGAAGACATGACCTTAGGTTTAGTTCATGTCCATGCGAGGGTGCCTCTCAAGGCACGTGCAGTTCCTCAACGGGGGCCGCAAAAGAGACAGTAAGCAGAGATGTGGGCCCATAACAGCACATTGGAATGAGCATAAAGCCCTACTATAGTCTTTTAAGATAGGGACGAAAATCGAACCTAATGACCGTTTCTCTTGAGTTTCTTTTACAGAACTTCTCTTAGCAATCAGTCTTCGTCCAAGTGGTGACTAGGCTTGCTCAGTACTGCTTGAGGCAGACCAAATTTTATGACCGTTTCCGTTTGATTCACAAATATGCTGATTTCAGATTGCACTCTCTCAAATGAACCTGTTTGTAGCGATTTTCTGTTTACTTCTCAATGCTTGTCTCGGCGGTAATATTCATAGTGAGTATTTTTTGTTTTGAATTGATGTACGTGAGGAAAAACGAAGTCTCGGCCTTTTTCAACTCAGCTTCAAAACCCTTGAAAACCAGTGTAGTCGCCACAGGTAGCCGTTTGAAGCCTTGACCCACCTTATTCCAGTTGTTTTGAAGCTACAGGCTGGAGTTCCATTTCGAGAGTAGTATAAGAATGGGATTGGAAATACTGTAAGCAGCGCCGGTTGTGGTCCATGGATGCCATGCTCCTTTGAGCCAAGCCTTCCATTCTTCAAGGGTTCAGGACACCCCAAAGATTAGGCGTACTCAATTGGATAGAGTTTGTGAATCTCAGGTTGAACCCTCAGTAGGTTTCTTGATAGGCCGAGGACTGTTGAGGTCTCCGAAGTGAAACATCACCTGTTCACATGAACTTTCTCAAGAGGTCTCGCGTGGGTGTTTATGGTCAAAACCTTCTGCCAGTAGCTCATCATCTCGTAAGACTTCTAACCCATCATTGCAGAGATGGGAGATCCGCTGTATCGTGTTTCTGGAGAACCATTGCTGACCGAAGAGTTTGTGCAGCGATATCTTGAAATACCAGAGGTTTGTTCTTTATTATTACTGTAGCTACTGTAGCTTACATACCCCACCGTTGTTGGAAAACAGCAATCCGACTTACCCAGAAGCTCAGATTTGTGTCATTTTTGAAAATTTTAAAAATGCTATTTTTTTTTCACGATTCCCTTCAATCCTTTGATTTCCAGAACGTTCCTCGAGCAGGTACTCGAGCCCTTCGATACAAGAAACTCAAAGAACTCGGTTTTCGACAGCCAGCACAGACGTCTTCTGAAGAAGCTACGACCTCTGTGAGTTGATTTGCAAGACAAGCAAATGTCTAGAATTTTTTCGAAAAATTCACCCATCTGTAATCACACTCCACCAAGTTCTGGCTTTTTGAATTTCATCCTGGAGAGTATTGTTTCGGCTGTACGGGATCCGCCCTCTGAATGGAACTCTGCCCACTGAATCGAAACAACCAGAAATGTTGAAATGGTTTTTCCTAATCTACGAACACGAAGGAATAGCCGTCTAAGCTTAGGCATTGTTCCCAAATGGCAAGAAACAGATTAATTACATTCTGGGGACTTTCATACAACTTAAGTAGATCCAACCCCCTTTGCATAGGTGCAGAACCTAAGTTCTTGATCGTAGGGAACCGGTTTTCTTCTGGAATACAGTTGTAATGCGCTCCACGATTTTATGGAAACAAAAGCTGTAAAAGAGTTTACACCGTTGTAGTTGTCCCTTTGGCCCTTCTTAAGGGTTTGGAAGGCCCAAGATTATTTGACCTGGGCAAATGTTTCAAAGCCTACTTCATTCCCTTCCCAACCTTTCCCTTGACATCAGCTTGGATCCAGCTGAATATAACACTATAATAATCTGCCTCTTGTTAAACATTGAGTTCCCCAGTTCCATCGGGTGTCAGAAATGTCTCCATCCGTTCCTGTAGCAAGTCTATGAAATCAAGTGGGCTCTCACCGCTAGAACGACTACTAAGGTCCAGAGGGCTATAATTACATGATATTAGATTCATTTTATTCATGTTACTTGGTAGTTTTTGGCAAACTACGGTACTCCCCCAAATATCGGCATATTTCAGAGAATTTACATGGAGTTTGACTTCAGTCCATATATGGAAGCTCCAAGCATTCGGATTCACAGATGAGAACTTCTTCATGACCACTTGACTTCCTCTGTAAATATTCATTGTACCTATTGAACTCTATCGATAATAAATATTACACTAATCGATTGGAACTGGTACCGGGAGTTACCCTTCAGAATGCTCTTTGGTGAATGGGACTGTCCCGTTTGCAAAGTGCATAGTTTGGACTTTTTTCAGAAGATCAGTATCTCTCTCTACCATGTAGAGGCTCTGTTGTAAGGTCGTGTGATGAAAACGATGACTCTTCAAAGTATACGCCATGAACTTGACTTGAACCGAAAATTGTGATGGTGTTTGCATGAGCATTTCGCCTTCTCAGTGAGCTCTATGAGTTGGCTGACTAAAATGCCGTGAATTTTACCTTGCATAGAAGCTTAGTACGATTGATAGGTCCGCAATGATGACTGCTATGATGTTCTCTCTAGGCTTATGACGTTATCTTCGATCAGAAACCAAAAATTTACGTAACGACTGTACTGTGACCATCAGCATTCCATTCGTACACCGGAACGTGACCGTAACATAACTGCAGTGGAAGCGTTCTGCTACTAGGGAACTAAAAATCTCTTTTTTTTTTTCGAAAACCGTTGCAATTCGTCCGGAGAGGGCGTTCACGTACTCTTAACTCTGATCTGTGATCTCTTAACTGGTAGCGCGTTCGTAAACAGCCTGAATTCCTTTTCCCCGGTTGTTCTAAGATTTAAGGTTGATTTTTCTTCAACCATTCGCCAGTTTTGAGCTAACAGTATCTCTAGTAAACTGTTCCCATCGCTGAATAGGTCTTTGAATCATGACTGTTGATATTTTCGTTTTACTCAGGTGCTGATACAACCGGTTTTCCTCTCCGATTTCTTTTCTGCTGCTAATCTCTGCGTCATAGGATGTTTTGGAGTTTTATAGGTAGTATGGGAGAATGACAAACAAGCAGGTGACCTTAGCAGAAAGGCTACTTAAATCGACGTGATTTGCCGATTATTTCGTTGTTTCAATTGTTGGTCTCTCGTTTGAGAGGCCTCCGCTTCTTTCCCCTAGCTTCAGTCGGTCAACCGCATACCTTTGCCGAGTATGACGGAATAAGAATGACGGCCGAAGTTTCAAATTTTCTTCCTTCATTTTATTGTCCAGATAGGTCTTTGGTGGAGATTTTGGAACGTACCAGGGGATTGAGCACAGCTATCTCGTCTTGTGACCAGATCCCAAATCTAATTCGCTGATGGTTGCTCCCGAGATGCTTCTTAAACTAACTTCAAGTTTAAAACTTTCTCTTGGAGCGTAGGTAAATAGCTTTGCTGACCTGTAACTTCAGCACCTGCATCAGAATCGTTGGAATCAGCAATTTGCAGCAAAAAGGTACTAGCTGCAATTGGTAGAAGTCCGATTGGGAACCACCCAAATGTGACTGCCACATAGATAGTACCGCTTCCACAGTGCTTACTATATTTGGAGAATTTCGACAAGCTTTCTGAGGTTGCTCAAAGTTGAACTGTGCTTCGTTCATTCGACTGCATAGATGGGAAGACTGAGGATCTGCTAGCTGGTGAAACTAGAATGTAATTCCTTCCCGGCGCTTGATAGAAACCCGGGGAGGCTTTTGGAGGTCGATGCTTGAGTGCTCACTGAGTAATACCGTAGTCTCGCTTTTTCACCGAGTCCATTTTGTTTCCCACATTCCGCTACTTTCCTGGAACGAAACTCGTGGGTAGGAAACCAACTAACAACTCTGAAGCTAGCTTTTAGATGCTGTTAAGTATGTTCGAGTGACACGCTTTTACCGTATTCGAACGTATTTTACCGTATTTTACCGAACCAGGTTTCAACCATCAGCAGCTGTGTAAAGGACGCCCAAGAACACCTGTAGGGGTGTATCCCCCTTAACAATGGTTCGCGCTCGTCATCATCATCACTCAACGGTGTTCGGGCTGCAGGTTTTTGCTTGTTTTCCAGCGATTCATATCCGAATTGAAACTTTTCACACCCATGATGATTCGTGCATTCCAATGCAATCGTTCTTCCCATGCTGGGTTTTCGTTTCCCGATACTTTCATTCGACCATGTCTAAGTGGTCGAAAAACTTGAGTAAAGATGTTTTGGTAAAGTATCTCATACTGCTAGCTGTAACGCATACTACCGAAGTATTCGTGAACATCTCAGGATCCCCCTTGAGAACTTCTCTAAGATTGGCTTCTTCCATGGAAAAAGAAGTGAAGTAGTGTTATTCTCCTTGTTATCTTCCATTATTTGGGCACTTCCCATCGTTTTCTTCGATTCCGCTGAGGCAACTCATTCACGGCGCAGTCACTTCATTACGATTTTCTCTACTTCGCTTCCGAATGTCAGTGTTTGAACTAAGACAGAGAGCATTTTCCTGGTATTGCAGATGCTTCGACTAATCATACTGATCGCCTTACCTTTCTTGGCATTGTGTTTCCCTTACTATGGAACGAGTAAGTTGACTTAAGAGTTACTGAAAACAAGTAAACAAAAAAATCTTAAATCTGCAATACTTTCTGAACCTAAGAGTACAAACTTTTGTACTCGTAGGTATCGTTCAGAAAGTATTGCAGATTCTTGGCAATAAGATTGATTTTTCCTTTTCTTTTTTTTTTGTGTTTTCAACAGTCCCATAACCGGTCTCAGGGAATGATCAGTTACGTGGTTGCTCGAACAACTTCGGTCAAAAAGAGTCCCATCCGAAGTTCAATAAAACCAACTAGTACCCAGAAATTTTCAGACTTGTTTTCCTAATTTTTACCAGAGTTCGAACTAGTGTATCAGGTTACCCTCATAGAAGAGGAGTGTAAACAGCCTCTGTTGGTCTCCTGCGCCATCCTTCCTCCCTACTTTTGGCAAGTACGAGTTGAGTTGCATCAACTCATTTGGAAGCGACATGCATGGCTTATTCCAGAAAAACCTATTACTTTCTTGTTCTCATTTGAAAATTCGAACTGATTCTGAGACATTGAATTACCGTCACACTTCCATACCAGAATTCTCATACAAAAACCTTACTTTCAGATTTCATACCACCTCCATATCCACCTCCATACTACTCAGATCCGGTTGGTTTTGCAATTTTTCTTTTCTATCTGCTTTCATTTTGTGCAAATCTGACCTGTTCCCGGAAAAGCAGTTCTCTAAAAATATTCTATGGGCTCTAGAAATTTATTACTCGTACAGTAAATCACCTCGGCGATCAGAAATTTTTAAGGGAATTTCGAAAAGAACTTCTACTTTTAGCGGAAGTGAGTGCCCGCGGAATTTAAAACAGCAATTCCGGTTAGACTCCCTTCCTTCAGCGCCGGGCAAACCGGTCTTCCCAGTCTTTGCTTGAATATCTACCACCACAATCTCAAGATTAATTGACAGTTCAGTGCAGATTGTTCAGAAACATACCTGAACTTAAACTACTTTTTTCTAAAGGCTAGAGTTATCCATCACTGAATCAACAGTCTTTTTTGGAACATTGCCAAAACCACATTACTTCATGATTACGTGCCAATCTCGATGACTTTATTACGGCCAAAAAATCTAACAAAAAGATTTGATCAGCCTAATTAATTTTTATTCAACTCTTTTGACAATACTTCATGGACTAGTAGATCACCAATTACTCAAATTTATCATCCACCCATCGAAGTATAACTAAGTCACCCACATTTCACCCCATTTAAGATGCGGCCAAAGCTGAGTGTTGCAAAAACGAGAGAATTTCTTGAAGGAAATTCTATGGAAGCATTCGCTCGGCGAGTAAAAAGACAGGTAGGGCTTGTCGTGTGGATCGGGTAGGTGCCGAATCTGTCATAACTGCTTTTGTGTCCATCGAAACTAACCAACGGTGGTGCTTGCTGGGTAATGTGGTCCTTATATCATACAGCGAAGGCTTTTGAGAACATTCATGTTGTACTCATGATCAGTGAAATTTGATTAGACCATTACTTTTCGATTATTCGGGTATCTTCACCGAAATGTACGGAAAGTTCTGTAGTCCATTACCTTCAAGGAACAGGTAAGTGACATCAGAAAATAGTGGTTGGTCTGACCTGGGTATCCATAACCATGTGTACTACGTGCCGTTCTCAGGAGTATTAACGTTAACATCAGCCTACTGAGCTCTAACTTGCTTCACAATGCCTAAACTATTGACTTTACCTACTCAGTTTTGTTTCAGTACTACTACGGCGGTTACCCATACGGTTACTCGAATCCAGTCGGTACTGGATCAGCATGGGCAAATGGTGGAGGCGTTGTGGGGAATGTGATATCCTTTCTTGTCGGATAACAGACCTACGATTTGATAACTTTTGCGGCACCTACGAAAACGATCTTGTATCACGAATCTCTTGTAAATATGCCTAATAAATACTATTGATCCGGAATTGTACTGTGTAACAACTTCAGTTTTCCTGTAGCTCCTCTTGCATAGAGGTGTAGGGCGCTATCTTAAAGAAACGCATTTCAGCGGACGGTGAGCCTTTGAATGTTCATCCTGGGTAATGCTTATATTCGTCCTTCAGAATCAGCGTGCACTATCAGATGGGTGCACTTCATACAGTAGCGCTCAAAAGTCTTCGTGACGCTTTTTTGTTCATAACTTTTTTCTTAGTAGACCAAATCGCGCGAAATTTGGATATGTTTAACTAGAGCATATTTCACCTTACCCAACACTATTTGACTGCGAAGCTGCAATATCCACAGGTAGAGCAAGGTGTTCGTTGCGGTAGCAGATTTTGCTAAAAGTAAA